CCTGTCCCGCTGGTCAGTACAGAGGGGAGCCATCAGTCACGTGCACGCTGCGGTCTTCTCGCTGCTTTTCGATGGTGGCGGTGGAAGGCCGCGTTGGTGCAGTTTGTAGTGCAGGGGGGATGGCAAGTCCCAAAGGATGATGCCCCATTGAGTAACGAGTCGCGCCTGAGAAGGGAATAGGTGCTAGTGTGCGATGCTGTAGTGAGGTGATTTGAAATGACAGGTTGGTTCAAGTCTCCTCCTTTTAAGGATGGGCTGGTGCTTAGAAAGAGTCCTAGGTTTGTTAGTCCTGGCTCATGCATGTGTGACCTAGAGCAATCACTTAACTTCTCTGGTATTTTCCCGTCTGTAAAATGGGATTGAGGACACTTACGTGCTTTTGTAAAGCACTTCTAGAGCTTTGAGTGAATTTGAAGTACATAAGATGTGTTTAATAAAACAGTGAGGATATAATTGTGGAATATTTCTCTTTCCTTTAGTCAGCAACCATACCTTTGTTTATGAGCAATAAAGATGTTGCTGCAGAAGCAGTGAGTATTGTGTTTATTGTATTAGCTGTTTTTTTTTTCTTATAAGTATTTGGACTCATGAAGAAACTAACTTTGCTTCAACTTTCACAGGTAACAGGCAGTGGCAAAACATTAGCTTTTGTAATTCCCATACTAGAAATTCTTCTCAGGCGGGAAGAAAAGTTAAAGAAAATGCAGGTAAGAATGAATTGAGGGATTTGAATATATTAATATATAGGTGTAACTGAAGACGTTTATAGGAGTACTTAAGAGTCAAGTTACACATGTAATTAAAGGTTTGACAGAGTGGGCCTTTACTACAGATTGTACCTCTATACATTGAGACTCTCTGGTTTGGCAAAATCCATGATTCATGGATCATGTTCCCAGATCAGTGTCCCTGTGTGCTGTAGGGAGTGAGGGGCCTGGGAGCCAGGCACGAGGTGAGAGGTAGGGGAACTTGGCTTGTGGCTCAGATGAGCTGCATGGGGAGTAGTGGTGGGAGCTAGCAAGCTGGGCTAGCATCTCAGGTGGGTGAGATGGGCTAAGAAGGGGTGTGTGGCCCAGCTGAGATGTATGGGAGGAGAGGGTGGGAAGGCCAGCAGGTAACTCAGCTGAGCTGCTGGGGGAGCTAGGAAACTCTGTGCGGTAGGAGGTAGGGCCAGCAGCAGGGGGGCCAGCAATGACCTCCCTTGATTGGCAAAACCCTTCATTTGGGAATAGTCAGTTCACATGGGTGCTAGACCAGGGAGTCCAACCTGTGCATTCACAAGCAGGAATTAATTGAAAAAAAATTGTAAAATACTTTGTTGCTTTTTAAACACCTGTTTAAATGTTCTTCCAAATAGTTTGTGAAATTGATTAGTAATAAAAAGCAATAAAGAAGTACAAATTGTTTACCAAAACCAAAAGATGTTTGTATACTGTTACAGAGCAAGATATCCTAAAATATAAAAAAGTATAACGAACTCAAGGAAATACGACATTTAATGTTTTATTGTAATGTCTTTTGTTTCTGAAGAAATTTGAATTCACTCCAGTGCTACTTGTTGCTAAAAATCTTCATATTGCCTTTAGTTTTTGTGCATCTAATTTTTAAAAAAGGCATATCAAAATGTGTTGTTTTTACAGTACAATCTGTTGTAAAATGCTTTGCAATTTATCATAATTTATTATGTAACAGTTATACCGGATCACTTTATTTCTTAGCAAAAATGGTGTTTGATGCACATGGAAACCTTTAGCGTCATAATTTCATTTACTCACAGCAAATAGCTAATATCTTTTGGGCATTTGTTTATTTTAGTCTTTTCCTTTTTATTCCAATGAGCAGGTTGGAGCCATAGTCATCACACCCACGAGAGAGTTAGCTGTTCAAATCAATGAAGTGCTATCATATTTTACAAAACAGTTTCCCCAGTTTAGGTAGGTATATTTAGGTTTGTAATGAAAACAAGCTTTCCAGTGGGGTTTGTTAGCAAATTTTTGAGTAATATATTTTTTGTTTTAGCCAGATTCTTTTGATTGGTGGTAGGAATCCAATAGAAGATATTGAAAAGTTCAAAGAACAGGGGTGAGTTGACTGACAATTAATGTATTTCCATTCTTGTGTCTCAGGGCAGAAATGAGGTATAATCCCTGCCCTGATCAGTGTACAAATTAGGCTGCCGATCCTGCATATGACTAAGGATATATTTAATACTTTGCCTTCTATATATTCATTTTTGTATGCTTATGTTTGTGGGATTTGTCTTCTGAACTAAACATGGCATAATGAAGATCTAACAAAACTGTAGGAAGAGATCAAATGTAAAATCTGTGCAAGGGCTAGTATGTAGCATAAAATATTTATGCTATATCTTATTTAGTGTATAATGTCACAGAAGGGGTAAATGCTAAAGATAATCTTAAATGGCCTTGTGATTCAGCTCTGGAAGGGTGGGGTTGAAAAAAGTATGTAGATGAATGATCTTTGGGAAAAATACTCTGAGACCTTGTCTTGGTCCAGCACCTTATGCTGTTTATTTACAAATAGATTCTTATCACCTTCATCACACATACTGCTCCCTATAACAAGTGGGGAGAGCAATCTCTGCCTACTTTCCCCTTTGTATTTCCTTTCCTTCCTGTGTCTATTTTGGTTAATGGCATAATTAGCTATGCCCAGAAATTAGGGGCACACCCTTGCTTAGTCAGCTCCTTTCTGTTTTCCTTGATTGGAACCTCAGAGTGCTGACTTAGCCTTTCTTGCCTGGCCCTCTGTCTGAGGCCTGAATTGGGACTACTAAAGTATATATACTTAAGTAAATTTAATACAAAAAAATTAAAACTACTTTCTGTGGTGATACTTATGTGGAGATTCCAAAATAAAGTGACATACACTTTTTGCATGGCAGTACCTAGAATGCTTTTCAGTTTTGTTGTTTTATAGCTATATGAGTTCTAGGATCAGTATAAGTAGTTGGGGAGCTGCTAGGTGCACAAGATATCTATTTTTATGGTTTTGTTCTTTCATCCTTCAGCATTATATCTGAGAACTTTGCGTTAATAAGACTAGGAATGTTAAATGGTTAACTAGCCCTTGCTGATGAACTCTGTCAGCTGCTAGCTGTGATGGGTAGGAGCAATTCCAGTCGTGGAGGCACTGGGTGGCAGGGCTGGGTTAGGGGTGGGGCAGCAGGCAGTAAATTAAAATTGTTGACTGGATAAGTGCTAGCATTTATCCATTTTTAACATTCTTAAATAGGACAGACAATGCCAAAATCTTTAGTGGACAGAGCTCTTTTCCACAGTCAGACATACATAGGTCAGCCTCGAAGATTCCAGACTGCCACTGAGTGTGGATTTGCTGTACAATGAGTTTCTGGTGTGTTTTTGACATCCAAATACAATTAAAATATAACTTAAGCTGTATAATTTCTATCCCTGACAGAGGGAACATCATTATAGCCACACCAGGCCGTTTGGAGGATATGTTCCGAAGAAAAGCAGATGGGCTGGATTTAGCAAGTTGTGTGAAATCACTTGATGTGCTGGTATTGGATGAAGCAGACAGACTTCTAGATATGGGATTCGAAGCAAGGTATTTTTAAATATAATTCTAGTAGTACTTGCTGTTCCTATAATGTTATCAATCTAAAGCTGTAGGAACATTTTACAACCATTAATGTAATCAAGATGTTTATTATTCCTTTGCTACTAATGAAGAACTGAGTCAGAGAAAGGTGACATTACCTGTATAAGGTTATCCATGAGACTACAATTTAGGAGTCCCAGATCCTAATTTTTCTATCTAGGTGTTTATGATATCCATCAAGCTGCTATATAAGAACTTCACAAACAATGATTATCCCTGTTTTTGCTGATGGGTAGCTGAGGCATAAAGAAATGTAAAGGCCTTGTCTACATTAAGAAAATTTGCAAGGTTTAAGTGACTTGCTGAGTTGGGAGTTAAACTCAATTCTCCTGTGTCTCAGTCAAGTAATTTAACCACAAGAGCTTTCTGATTATATTAGTACACAATGCCTCTTTTTTAAACTTTACAGATAATGGGGGAAAATGCATGTGAAGCTTATTTTTCTCTTCAAGGATTGGAGGAAAAAGAAGAGCCAAGGAAAGGGGACAGCATAACAGATCTAAAAATCAAAAGCATAGTTATTCATAGACCTGGTGCATTCAAATAAATCCCAAGGATCTCAGATGCAAACAGACATGGGGTATAATCAGTCAGGCAAACACAGGATTGTTAGGGCAACAGCTAGCATTGTGCACATCACCATTTTGTACAATCCATTCTGTTTAAAGACTGATAATAAAACTTCAATTTTTGGAAATCTTGAGCCATTTTCTTTTAATATTGTGTTTATTTGCAGTTTAAATACCATTCTGGACTTTTTGCCCAAGCAGAGACGAACAGGCCTGTTTTCAGCAACTCAGACTCAAGAAGTAGAGAACCTGGTGAGAGCAGGTCTCCGTAATCCTGTTCGCATTTCAGTGAAAGAGAAGGGAGTAGCAGCAAGTAGTACTCAGAAAACACCTACGCGGCTTGAAAATTACTACATGGTGAGGCTCGTTTCCTTTTAAATATAATGATGAATTCAAAATGTTGCCATCTAGTGCTTTGTAGTTTGACAGTCACATTGCCTTCAGAAAGAGCACAAAGGAGAATTTTCTAAGACTGCAGCAAAAACAGCTAGCAGCCTTATTGCAGTAAACAAAGATTGAAATAGGAACTTCCCTTAGAAATATTCATGATGCTAAATCAGCTCCAAAAGGAAGCCTAAGGCCATTCAAATTCCTCTGAAGCGGTATTGTCAAGTAGGTTGTGTTGGAAACACTGTCGGGATCGCTGGCCTGAATTCCTTGCTTTGTCACTGATTCGCTTTCCATAACCTTGGGGAATTTACTTAACTTTTCTGGGCCTCATTTTTCCCTGTTTTTGAAATTGGAATAATACCGAGATGGGTAATAATTTTTAATGGGCCACTCCAAGTTTTGGTAAGTGGTCAAGGGCCGCATTTCTGTGGAGGGGGCATGGGATCTGTGACAGTGGTTGCGGTGTAAAAGGCAGCTTGGGATAGAAGACTAGGATGCAGGAGGGAGTGTGGGGTCTGAGAGGGAGTTTGGGTGAAGGAAGGGGTTATAATCTGGGGCAAGGGCTTCGGTTCCAGGGTCCAGCAGAGGTTATGGGTGCAGGAGAGGATTCTGGCCTGTGGGAGGGATGTAGGAGGGGGCGCAGAGTCTGGGAGGGAGTTGTGATTTGGGAGAAGGGGGGGGAAAGGGGATGGTAGAGTGTTGGGTAATGACGTGGGGCAGGGGAATGGAGTCTGGGATCTGGGAGGGAATTGTAACCAGGAGAAGGGATACAGAGGGTTTGGGTGGTAGCCTGGCACAGGTATTTGTGGAGAGAGAGGGGGTGGGTTGCCAGAGGCAGATTCTGGCTGGGAGATGCTTACCTAGGTGGCTCCCAGCAGCTCTGCAGATTCCCTGCCTGTGGGCTGCTCCACTGGCTCTGCTCCCGCACAGAGAGGGAGGTGGGAATGAGGAGGATTCATTCACTGCTCCTGCTGTCAGCAAAATTTCTCAGCTCCTATTGACAGGAAACTGGCCAATGGGAGCTTGGAGATTTTGCTAGGGGCTGGGAACAGCACACAAAGCTTGCAGAGCAATTAGCAGCTTGTTCTTTAAAGCGACTGCTCCGCGGTATAGTAAGAGTACTGGTGAGATGGCTGCAGGCTGGATCCAACAGCTTGATGGGTTGGATCTGGCCCACTAGCTGCCTCTTGTCCATTTCTGGGATAATATGTAAGGCTCCCCAACCACTGAGGTCATTGTGTATTTACTCTGAGAGAAAATAATTTCATCCAAGATCTGTAAGTAGGTCAATAGTTCAGCTTCAAAAATCTCTAATAACAAGAAACTTTAAAGTTGAATTCCATCGTTAATGTTTAGTTTTAATTAACTTCAGTAAGCACCATTCTACATAAAGAACAGTGTTCACACACTGATGCAGCATGTAGAATATATCTCAGCAAGCATTAAATTGAGTTGCTTGTATAAAAAGTTTCCTAATATTAGTGCATGAATGAGCCACAATGGCTTTATACTGAAGTGAATGGAAAAAAATAAGCAAATCAGTTTTATTTTCTGTATATTTTGATGTTGTGCAGATATGCAAATCAGATGAAAAATTTAATCAGTTGGTGCATTTTCTTCGACAACACAAGCAGGAGAAACATCTGATCTTTTTCAGGTAATTCATCTGGGCTTGTTTGTGAAAACAGTGATATGATCATTTGTGTGCTCGGCACTGCTTGAGACATATAGGAGCACATTAGCCACTTCCTTTGTGCAGTACAATGCACACAAATTGCAGGGATGGTTGCTTCCCACTAAAATTTTCTTCTTCTTCATCATAATATAACAAAGTCAAAGACAATTTGAACTTTTAGGGATTATTATTATTTGAGATTATTTCTTAACCACAATAATGTATTATCATCTACTGTACATTAGTCATTAAAACAATGCTTATACATTTAGTAATAAAAATAGACAACTGATATAGCACCTTTCTTTTTGAAGCTCCTTGACCCCTTTGCTCCAGAAAAGCTATGTTATATTTTTGGTGAATGCGAAATTAATTTTTGGTAAGCAAGAATCTGACCTTTAATGGACAGGCAATGTATAGTAAATAAAGCAATATCAATGCTTGTAAAATGGGGTGGAAAATAGCTGGTGATGATATTAAACACTGCTTGATAAATCAGAACAGGAAGTGATTGGAAAAATATTTTGACATGTCAGGGGGTATTGAGTGAGACAAGATAGCACCTGTCACCAGTGCTAAATCCACATGCATTTGTATAATTTAAAATACATCTTACAAACAAAAGTTGATGCTGACTTTTTGTGGTTTTCATTGTCTTCTCAGTACCTGTGCCTGTGTGGAATATTATGGGAAAGCATTGGAATGTTTAGTTAAAAATGTGAAAATAATGTGCATTCATGGGAAAATGAAACACAAACGTAACAAGATTTTTACCGAGTTTCGGCAACTCCCAAGGTAGGAGTGTTTGAATAGATTACTCCAGTCAAAATGTTAATGCTAACAAATGTAAAATATCATCTTTCAACATCTAGAAGTTCACACCACATGAGCATAGAAATATAGCTTTCCTATAGAAGTGTAGGCTACCAGCCAGGCTACTGAAGCAGCTGGGATAATGTGGATGATATAAATCACACCCACTTTTAAGCATGTATAGATAGGTATACTCAATGAGAGGAAAAAATAGATTAATTGCTAAAACAATAACAAAAACTGCTCTTGGGTAACATTCCCATTTGAAAAAGAAGCAATGGTGAACATTCATTTCTGATAAAAGGAATTGAAACCTTTATTAGTATACAAACAAAAGAATGTGGGTTTACACCTTGCAAAATGCTTTTTCATTTCTATTCAAGTTATCTTTTTTCAGTTTTGCAGTATGAGCTATCATCACTGCCCAGCAATATTTGTCTCATTAGAAAAAGACTGGAATTCTTGCCCTGTTATGTTCTTTTTATTTCAATTTATGTATTAGGACTTCAGTTTTAGCTTTCTGTGTGAAAATGAATCATTCCCCCAGTCACCTATTGAAGTCTTTTTTTAAAGGTAGTTTAAAAAAACTGCAAGTTTGGTCACTTGATCTTTCTTTAATATATAGTATTTAGAAGCAGGGGACATTATTTAAATATGGAACTTGTAAAGGGAAGAGTTGATTATCCAGCTTAAATTTGCGTTGTTCACAATAAAATACATTGCTTCTCCTAAATATTTAGTAGAATTTTCATCCAAGGTAAACTTTAACTTGCCTATAATGTCTTCTATAATTTTGATATTAATGTTTTTGAAAAACTTAAGGCCAAATATTCTGCTCTGACATGCACCTTCATTGGAGATGCATGATGTATAAATCAGAGCAGAAGTTGGGAGCTGTTGGTTGGCACTTCTCAAATTACTATTTGATCAGAATTTTGCATTTTCTTTCAATTTTCTAGTGGTATTTTAGTTTGCACAGATGTGATGGCCCGTGGCATAGACATTCCAGAAGTAAACTGGGTTTTACAGTATGATCCACCTAGCAGTGCAAGGTACAACTTTAATTCTTATGAACTTTAATTCCACTACTGTTTATGTAAATGTACTATTTAAGTGTAGAATGATCTTAGTACTGTACAAAACGCACTGGAGGATCTATTCGCTGCTAAAGACTTAATCTGGATTGACAAAACAATGTAGCTGTACCACATGCCGAACGGAAGATTGAAATAGTGCAGTTTTTGTTAAGTCTGACATGTAACAGCACTATAGCATTTATAGGTGACATGGCTTAACATTAATAAAATGGTAGTGGCCATTTACATGTGTATGAAAGAGATTTCCTATCATAAGGATGGCAGAATTGGAGTACGAAAGGGGTGGTAAGGCAGGTATGGAAGAAGTAAATGAGAGCAGGGATGTAGGCAGGGGCAGAGCTGTTCACGGAATGCTATAAAAGGGTGAAAAATAAAGCTAATTAAAGTAACTATTTCCCTATCTTGTCACCACCAGTGTCATAATTTTATCATAACACACACATTTGACAAATTTCCTTTTTACATGAACATTTAAGTACAAGCACATGCTGCTTACAGGGTATTCAGGTAACTCCTGTTGTTACTCACCTCCATCAAGAGTACAGTACCACTAGATCTGCTGTTCCATAAGACTTGCCATACCACTCATTGTCTTGTATTATTTTAAAAACAAACTGAGTAGCTCAACTTATTAAAACAACTGTCTATTGTTTTTTTTAGTGCCTTTGTACATCGCTGTGGTCGAACAGCTCGAATTGGCCATTTAGGTAGTGCCCTTGTATTTTTGCTTCCTATGGAAGAATCATATGTTAATTTTCTCTCAATAAACCAAAAGGTGAGTTATCTTTTATTTCCTAACAGTAGAAGAGTTACACTGAAAACTACCTTGAGACCTAAAACAAGGGTTATTGCAAAGCGGAATTCATACATTTTAAAACAGATGGATGAGAGATTTTAACCCAGTTGAGTAACAGAAAACAGGTGGAAGCTACTTGTTATATAAACTAATTAATCTCCCTCTTAATGCAAGATTGTTTCTTGCATTGTGTAATTATCGACTTAATATATAACAATCTGTATGCCTTTGTAGTGACATTCTTCTCATTTTGGGTCTCAAAGTAAATTAATGGTCTTAATTCTACCAGATTAGCAGTAGGACAGTTGCAGTGAAGTCTAGTAATTAGACTTGAGTGAGGATTTATGCATCATGTTGCCTATTCTTTTAGAATTTAACCTTGATTAGGCCACTTAACTTTCCCTCTGTTTATCAGTTAAAAAAAATGAGGTAGATAAAATCTTCCATGTATTAAGGCTTAATTGTTATTAAAGTATGTGTTTGAAGTTTCAAGATGGATTTTAAACTATTACATTTAGCTCCTGCTTATGTTTTCTTTTTTTCTGGTTAAGTGTCCCATGCAGGAAATGAAACCACTGAAAAATGTGGTAGATGTTCTTCCTAAACTGAAGTCTATGGCTCTGTCTGACAGAGCCATGTTTGAGAAAGGGATGAAAGCATTTGTATCTTGTGTGCAGGCTTATGCCAAACATGAGTGCAATCTTATCTTCCGAATAAAAGGTAATCTAAGCAGCAGGTGCTACTTTTACTTTTCTTCAAAAACTATATTCAGTTTGGCAAAACTTACATGTTGTTGCATAAGCATTATTGGCTCATCCTTCTGCCAAGTTTCCATGCACACAATTACTTTCTGTTAAATGCTTATATTAAAGTGCTATGTAAATATGAATTAATTACTCCTCAAGTTCTGTCAAAAGAAGGTGTTTTACAGTAGGATACACTGAAGCACAGAGTTCAAGTGATTTGGTCAAAGCCATAGAGGGGAACCAAAGTCAAAACTGCAGATAAAAACCCAGCCCAGGCCCTTCTGACAAGGCAAAAATGCAAATTTTAGAAACACAGACAACACAAAAATGCAGTGTGCAGAAATCCTTCTCTGAGTTAATGAAAAAAGTAAAAGATTTGCATGATGTGCAAGATGGTTTTCCGGTTTCACAAGAATTTTTGAGATTTTGAATCTTTTTCCTGCACTGAAACTTTTCATTCCATTTAGCTTATTTTTATGAACCAATAAGTTGAATTTTTTTGATTGGTTCAATCAAAATGTTTCTAATCATTTAATTTTTAACCTTTATTTTACTTTTTCAAATTAAAATTGGACAAGACTTGTTAAACTTTGCAGTGGAAAATTGTGACAGCTTCTTCAAAATTTATTCACTACAGATATTTTAAATTAGGGCCAGTTTCCACAAATCTCTCATCTTGTAAAGAAGTTTTCATTTAGACAAATTGACATTTCTTGATTGACCAACAAAATGTTTTATTCAATTTCCCACTGACAGGCATAGATCTCCAGGAGCTGCTGAATAGAGATTCAAT